GAGATATTCTTATTTTCCAGGTTAGTGCTCTCAGAATTTACCTTCTTTTGACCAAATGGTTCTAAAACTTTTCCCCTGTGTTGGCTGTTGACAAGGCACGAGATACCTCGAATTTTCCCCAGGCTCCAGCTCCTAGTGTTTTTGGCATACCTTCCATTCAATGCCAGTGATTGTTCCTGCCACTCTGCAATCTCAAAAGCCTTAATTAAGGTATTAGGCTTCAACATCTTAACCACAGGTCTGATTTCCTCTTTAATGCCACTGATGAAACTGGAAACAAAGTAAGATTCAGAGAGGTGAGGATCCCTTACTAACATCAAGGAACTCAGTTCTTCAAATATCTCCTGGTAGTCCTTGACAGTGCTGGTTTGGTGAAGTTTATTGAATTCCTCCACCTCATCTCTTCTTCCTCTATCTCCAAATCTCCTCTTCAATAGTTCGCAGAATTCTTCCCAAGAGATTCTTCTCTTGCTCCTCTTGACTCCTTGAAACCATATTTCTGCTTTCCCTACCAGATACATCTCCATTACTTCCAACTTCTGGTCCTTAGGGAGTTGATGAATTAGAAAATATTTCTCACATTTCCTGATCCACTCCTGAGGCCTATCCCTTTCAAAGAAAGGAAGGTCTACCTTAGGAGGATTCGGAATTGTAACCTTGTGCTCCTTGCTCGCTGCTGATTGATCAACCCATTCCCTGAATTTTACATGTGGATTGGACAATAAAGGAGGCTTCTCTTGTGGAGGAGATTCCCCTGTTGTAGCTGCTCTGTCTCTATTGAGAGCTTGAAGAAATGAAGTCAACTTCATCTCCATTCCTGCCATTAATGCATCAATCTTCTTATCGAGCTCCTCCATTCTAGTATCTACATGCGTTCGAGTTTCCTGTAGCTCTGCTTACATGGAATCGACTTGAATTTGAACCCTAGTCTCAAGTTTCCTGAGTTGTTCATCCAAATTCTCGAGTCTAGTACCATCTGCCATCGAAAGTTATGTGAATTCCACCGAGGATTGAAGGCTCTAATTACCACTTGTCAGGAATCAACTTGATGAATTGCGGAGAAAGAAAGAGAGAGAGAGTTTGTTCATGATCTGAGAGAGAATTGAGAGAAATGAGAAGATATTTTCATTTGAAAATTTTAATTATGAATCTGACTGCCGCCTTTCTTCACCCTTTTGCTATTTATAGCATTATTTACATTTCATCAGTACTAACTGACTTTGTAACTAATTGAAACAATTATAACAGATTTCCTAACTAACTTTGCAGTGCAATGACACCGAATCTCGCAAGAATATGAATTCACACCAAAACTACGTCGCACTACTTATTTCTCCTAGCAATCTCTAAAACGATGCCGCAATGGTCCAAAACTATGTCGCATCACTTATGATTCCTGACATAGTCTAAGTATCTAACTGGGTCGGCAGATGAGCCTTCTTGTATCTGTCCACGAATCCTGTGTAACAATCAAATTTCCTAAAGCTTTTTCTTAACACCTTTTCGACGTTGTGCGTGTATTAGTCGTGTCTTGTGGTGTCTAAAACATGTAAGGATGTGAACGTTGGTGTGATTAATGTTTTAAAACATCACTACTATAAACAATCAAGTTTTTTTTTTTTTGGGATCAGTCAAAAAAACAAAGAGACAGGAACAATCAAAATCCAACCAAAATTGCAATAAAATATTAGTTAAGGCCGAAATATGGATTAAGACAAATTCATTCGCGTTGCAGCCACATATAGAGTTGAGACTTAATGAGCCCTGTCAAGCACATCAGCCTACTTCTCACTAATGAGCACACTTATTTCTGTAGATTTAAAGCATCAATGCAAGAGTTTGTGAATATCCTTTGATTTCTTTCATTCCAAACACAATAAAATGCAGCAGCTAGCACCAGTTTATGCACCAAATTCAGGAAATTTTTGGCTTTCATTGTCATGGTAGCTCAACGAATAGTCTTCTACCCACTACCTTCAAACCATATGATATTGCATTTCTACAATAAATACCCCCATAATCTGTAAGTGAATGGACAAGAGAAAAATAGGTGATCATGACTTTCAACATTATCTCGACAAAACACACATGAAACTGATAGTAACACCATAATTGAGAAGCTTATTCTGGGTTGATAGTCTCTCTTGAACAGCCAACCAAAGGATGAAGGAATGACGGGAAATAGGTTTTGGATACCAAACAATGCTGTGCCAAGATACAATCGGCCTACACGATCTAAAGAAGTTCCAAGCTTTTTGCACAGTGAATTCTTCTTCTTTCTCTACACACCACACCACCTTGTCTTCTGTAGCACTTGAAAGCTCATAATTAGGTATGTTGTCTGCCAAATTTCTCATGTTTTCTGTAGGAAGTCGAGGCCAACTACAAGTATCAGCATGTATAATTTTTGCAACTTTGTGAAATCTTCCCAAGGCTGGATTGTCGGAGAATCTGCCTTCAAGCAAAAGATAGAGATGTCCTGCTGGATGCCAATTGTCTCACCAAAGAAACGTATATTCACCAGTTCCAATAACATGTTTAAAACACGATCTCACCTCTTGTCACAATTTTAGTAATTTTAACCAAGCCCAAGAGCAATCAGAAGGTGGTCTAGCAGCCCAAAAACTTCGACCTTTAAGAAAATTAGATGTAATCCATTTGGTCCAAATTGATTCTGAATATAAGCAAACAAGTTCCAAAGCAAATTAACTAACTTTTCTCATTATTCACTCCTTAGTTTAGAACTTTTGTTTTTGCTGACGAGGGTTCTTTGTTTTTGTTATATTCTAGCGATATATTACCTTAACTCAGCAGTACACTTCTGAATGTAATGGAGCAATAAACGCCTTAAGAATAATGTTTAATCATGCCTCAAGAACTTGCTAAATTTCTCCTTCTTGTTCTTTAGTAAATTTGTTAGAAAAATTTCTGCACTCGTAAGGCGTGTTCGTACTACTTTCCCCAACAGGATTTTGTAACGTACTTTTTAGTAGGATATCTTGAATGTAACGTAGCTTGCTCATCCTCTATGTAACTTTTGAGTTTTGACTCTATTTTATAAATAGGCAGGCATCCATGCTAAACCATCTATCGATAAAGTGCTCTTGAAAAAAATGAAGAAAAGTTAAAGAAATTAATTTTAAAGGACTCAATCGAAACAAATCAATATAAAAGAAAACATTAACAGTTTAATTTTAAAAAAAATTAAGGGCATGTAAATTAGATATATAGATTACACTAGTGAATGCATACCATATTGACGTCCTTTGTTTTCTTGGAAAATTCTGGATTCCTATGCAAACAAATATCTCAAAGTGGTAAACAAGGATGCAAACAAATAATCAAAGTGGTAAACAAGGATGACTCTTGAAAGCTATGATCTTGGGAAGTATTATGATTCTCAAGTCCTCGAATATTCTGATGAGGCTTGATAGTTTTTTATGCAGCCAAAAATTAATGTGTATGTTGGTGCCAATGCACATAGAAATATTAATCCATACAACACTTGAGCAGCAAAGATGACAAGGATTGGAGATTAAAAACGAGGAATGGCTGCTGGATTTTCAGTTAAATTTCCTCCACCATGCTTTGTAGTCAATGCCAGGAACGCGGTAGTGGAAATTAAGATCTGCAGCTACGGAGACGGGCAGGCAGCTGCTTCCCAAAACTTTGTAAAATTTCTTTGGTATTAGCATTTTCAGCCAAATTTTTATTACTTTACCCCCTCCAAAAAAAATATTTGTCCTAAGTTATTTTTTATCCCTTCTAATTTTTCTTTTACAAATTTCCTTTACCAAATTAATTTCTATTATGTATATAATTAGGAACACATATCAATTAAGGAAATTACTTAAAAGGAAACAAAGACAGACTAAAGCAAATTTAATTACAATTAAAATCTATTTATACTATGGTGACTTGAATTAAGGTTGCAACATGAATTATTCTACTCGATACTCCAATCGATTGGAACTTATAAGAGTTATTAGAATTTAATTTTTTTTAATAAAACATAAATCAATATTATTAATCATCTAGCTGAAAATAGTCCAACAAGATTTGCTTGACAAAGTAATCTGTACTAATGGCAGAAAATACATTAAATATATCACAGATATATTTGATCTAAAAAATCATAAGCTTTAATAGAGTTACAAAATATAAAAGATTACAATGTGAATCACAAATCATCAAATGTAACTAATTAAACGAGCCGTTTCATAGATATCTGGGCATGTCTATTCCTTTAGTTCTACTATCCAACTAGTTCAAATTCAAAACTAATATTGAGATCTGATGAGAAGATCCAAGATGCAATATTATTAGAGTTATTATAATTTAGTTGGCCCAACTAATCATGCAACAAATGATAAAAAAATTAGTTACCCATTAGCATGTGTTGTCTCTTCTTTTCTTTGAAGTTATGTGGAAATCCCTAAATTATTTTACTAACTACTATTTAGGACTATAAGTAACTATCAAATAATTATCTTTTTGCACATTTTCATACCACTAGATTTTACACTTATTCAGTATCAAAATACAAAATTAATTTTCATGAAAGCATTTTTTGTAAATTCAATTTTTTTATCAACTGCACAAACACTTGGAGTGTTCCTTCGTAACAACGCATAAAGAGATGACTTTTTGTGAAACTTTCCCCACCACTTACCTAATATCACAAGCATCGCAGAGTAAGGCCTGGTTTCGATTGCCACTTTTTGAAATTTTTTTTTGCATCTTGTAAATCTTTTATATATTTTTAACTATTTTTTAACTCACGTTCACTACATTTTAAAAAGTGTTATAATAAATTTTTTATCGGACTCTAGGACTTGAGAAAACCCGACCGAAAGACTAAGCATAACAAACAAACCTGTTTGCCACGTTTACAAACTAAACACAACCAAATCTGCCACGTTTCATGCAACGTGTCAATCGGCATGCAACTGCTGCCGAGTTATAAGCTCCCTTCTCATCTCTTCGGATGGACTAAATTCATCAGTAAAAGTTTTGAGTTTCTTCTTCTTCAGTTCGGAGCTTACAAGACCAGAGTCAGATTATCTGCTACAAAATTGAAAGAGCTATGGAAGGTGAGAATGTGTCAACCCAGCCGGAGGTTCCAGGGGAGCCAACTCAGGCCAGCACTGCCCTTCTCGAAACTGCCACCGCCACTCTTCAGGGCTTTGGTCCTGTTAACAAAATCCACCAGCACCTCTGCGCGTAATTACCACTTCTTCTTCTTCTTCCTTTTCACCATTTCTTTTTTCTTTTTTTTGGCTCTTTTCCTAATCCAAAATTAATTTCTTGGCTCTTAATAGTTTTTGTTGAATGCAAATGGAGGATAGGTTATCAGAATTCAAGGGCTATATATTATCCTTTCTGCTTTACAGCTTTGAGCTTTGTATTTTTCACCCTTTTCAGTTAGTGGCTAAGAAACTAAAGTAAAATTATTAATTATTTTTAAATGGTTTGTCTGTTAAGTAATTTAGTTCTGTATTTGCTACTTTTGTGGTTTTCCAGTTAATTAATTATTTTCTAAGTGTGCTATTTTTCTCCCAATTTAGCAGATGAATTGATTCTAATTAACTGGTTAGTAATTTTTACCCAAAAAAAAAGTTGAAGATTTTTTTCAAAACATATTCTCCAGCCATAAAAATAGAACTTGTATCCAAAGATTGTAACAGAATACTTTTGGAAAAAGTAATAAAAATAGAACTCCTACAAAAAAAAAAAAAAGCAATCCAAAAAATATATTTTATAAAAGCAAAAAGAATTACTAGTGTATGTTTTGATTCTTTCATTTACATCTGTTCTTGATATTTTCTGTTGTTTGATCATTTATTTTAGATTCCATTTCTATGCGCATGACATGACAAGGCAAGTGGAGGCACACCACTTTTGCGGGCATCAAAATGAGGATTTCAGGCAGTGTTTGATATATGATAAGCCTGATGATGATGGCAAACTCATTGGCTTAGAGTACATAATCTCTGAGGAATTATTCTTGACATTGCCTGATAATGAGAAGCCCTTTTGGCACACTCACGAGTTCGAGGTAAAGGGTGGCTACCTCTTCATGCCTGGTGTTCCTGGCCCTATTCAAAGGCAAGATCTTGAAAAGGTTTGCAAAACCTATGGCAAAACTATCCACTTTTGGCAAATTGATAGAGGTGATAGTCTCCCTCTTGGAATTCCTCAGGTTATGATGGCACTTACTAGGGATGGCCAGCTCTATCCCAATCTTGCCCAAGGTATATATATTTTTTGTTGTTATTTGGTTTTTTTTTTCTTTTGGAAGTGTTTTGATATGCACATTTGTAGCCATAACTCTTTATATGATATGTAATCATAGATTTTTCTTACTTAATCATTTTGTTTGGCATAAATCATACCATGTTAAGAAAATTGACAAGTAGTTTTACAATATTGGTGAAACACTATTGTATTAGTTATTTTTAAGTGAATATTTGAGATTGAATTTTAAGCCTAGGACACAAAATGGCAATATTCTTAAACTAGTAATTTTTAACCAATGCCGTGACACATTTTGCTTTCATATTTTGTTCCGCGCTCAGTTGGTTATAGGCCTTTTTTTTAATAGTAAATCCCGTACAGTTGTAGATCATTTTTTGAAAAGCTTTTAATTTCCATTTTTTCCTTTTTTTATACTAATTTTTAAGTATTTTAATTGAATTATTCTAAAAAACTCGAAAGTCACTCGCCTATCACGATCAAAGTATGTTTTAATGGCCAGCTTTCTGTTCATAATCTTGTATAATTTGGAAAAGTTTCAAACTTTTTCACTTGCATGAAACCATGATTAGTTTATAGATTATGTTCGAAATTAATACTAATGATTTTTCTTGGTAGATGTGGAGAGTCGTTTTGGCATCTCATTTGCCAAGGAGAGGGAAAACCGGGCATACATGACTGGACCCGCTCATGCGTTGCATCCCCTTGGAAATGCAGCCGGTAGAGGGTTGCAGACTGTACTGAGAGAAGTTGATTGCAAACCGGTTGAATCAGTTCCAAGCGTCTTTGTCTAATTGTCTAAAGTTAGAACTTAGAAGTACTGTCATGACCTTTTTGTCAACAAGGCCACCTTGGACAGGAGGATATTTTGTAATTATGGAATAGAACAGGTAACGTTTGTGTTCCTTTCTGGTTTGTGTATTAGGTTAACTATGAGAATATATGTATTCTTAAATGTATGTTTCATATGTCAATATTTCTTTTTTATTATTATTTTTTTTTATATACGTCAAATCATTATAATATTTTTTTATAAAACTTTAAAAAAAAAATAGCAAGCTGAACGGAATCTATGTAGGGATGGCAATGCGCGGGCACCCGTCCCACGGGGGCTCTCGGGGCGGGGTTGGGGCGGGGGGATTTCCCCCCGCTTAGAAACGGGGCGGGGGAGCATACCCCCGCCCCATCCCCCGCCCCGTCACCTGGAAAAAAAAAGTATGTATATATAATTATATATAATATATAATTTAATTAGTTATAAACTTATGATAATGCTATTATTACTTAGATGTATTATATAATATATATTAGTATATGTAATATAATTGATTTTATCAATTATACGAATAATTATACATGTCCACTAATAGAATTTATTAATTAGTTATACTAAATTTACTAATACATTTATACTAAATTCCTAATTACACTTAATAGAATAACACTTTTTTCTTAAAAAAAAAAGCACAAACATAATAATGAATTAGTGATTGTATTTGTACCAAAAGTGAAAACTTGACTATTTTAGTTGTATTTATTTCATCATGTTGGATTGTATTCAAATAACTTTTGTTTGATTGTTTTTATGAGTTTCAATTGTAAAATTACAATGAATAATAACTTGATGATGTGTTGATATTTTAATACTTGATTATTTATTAGAATTTAACTATAATAAAATTTTATTAATCTCGCGGGTGCCCCCACAGGGGAAGCAGGGGACGGGGCGGGGGTCGGGGGGAATTAATAGGCAATGGGGCGGGGGACGGGGGACCCCTTCCCCGCCCCAACCCCGTCCCGTTGCCATCCCTAAATCTATGTTAATCATGAATTTATTTGCAATGGTATATCTGCCATCCATGTGATTGAATCATGTCTTTTGCACATAGGAAAAAGGCAAATTTGAGATGTGGTCATGTTGGATTTCCAGGATGAGGTTTGAGTGAAGCAAAAGAGGGAAAGGTAATCATGATCAATTATCTAATGATGAGCAAAGAAGAGAATGAGGTCTGGTTGTGCACTGAGAATCACTATAGTTTTAACCATTGACTGTGTTGTTGTAGCAAAATAGGAAGGAAGATTGGATGAGGTAGTAAGAATACACTATAATTCTGATCTTTGATGATGATGTTGCAAGAATGTGTGAGGACTTGGAAATTCACCTATATTTTTTTTATAATTCTCTTATTCAATGAATAAGTTCATTTATAATTCCTTTTTTTACTAATTTTACTCTCTCACTAGTTCTAATAAATAATAGAATTAAGAGTTTTATCTTTCCTTTTATAGTTAGGGTAAAATAGGGTTTTTGCGTATTTTGGTAATGTGATTAATTGTGGAGGTGTGTGTACTAAATTTGGTGGTTAAGAGTGAGTTTTAAATAAGAGAAAATGTGTTATTAAAAGTGCTAATAATAAGTTAGTGAACCATAAGTAAAAACACAAGTATGCGAGAGTTAAAGAAACTAATCTTGAACCGACGTGCACTGTTTGTTATCGATTGAATACACCATTTGAACACTACTTTATTACTTTAATCTCCTTGATTTTTATTGAGCTAATTAGTCCCTAATTAACCCTTAAAGTGGCCGAAATTCTTGACCAAAAGAAAAGGGAGAAAGAAACAAAAAAAAGAAATCATATTGTAATGACAAGTGGCGACCATCCAAGAGGTGTTTGACCAACTAATTTCCTTCCTTCTTATCCTTCATTTTTTGGTTCATCTTCCTCACTTTTCTTCTTGGTTGGCCAAGTGCAAGAGAGGAAAAAAGAGAGAAAAACAACTTCAACTCTAACCTTGAATCAAGCTTTGTTTGAGTGAAATCAACAAAATTAAACCGATTAAAGTTTCATCTTGGTGCTTAGGAGGCTAGAAGTGATGGAAATCTTGGGAGATAGTGGTTGGTTCTTCACTTTCAAGAGGCTTTTGGAAGGTATACGGCTAAAACTTCCTTTCCTCTTGCTTAATCTTGCTAAGTTTAGTATAGAAACTTTTAATCTTGACTTGCTATAGTTGATTGTTTAGTTTTGATGGTATAGTGGAATGTTTAGCTAGGGTTTGCATTTTTCAACTTTGATTATTATTGTTTATCTGGTAAATGATGTTATTGAGCTAGGATATGAAATTAATGAAGTGATTAATGGCTTAATGTTACTTTTTAGATTTAAAAGTTGAATTTCCAGCATTTGGTAGTGAATGTCAGTTCTGCCCTGTTTTTGGAATCAAATTGGGCTATGAATTTCTCCATGTTGTAGATTGAATCAACTTTTGGACAAAACATAAAAGTTATAGGTATTTGAGTTAACTTTCTACCTACAAAATTTCAAATCAATTGGATTATTTTAGCTTATGTTTTGGCTAGAACACTCCTGACTGTGCAAAAACTCTAATTTTTCTAACCTGTTTTTCATGTGCTTCTGACCGTCCATTTTTTACCATAAAAATGCGAGAACTGGGTGTCGATGCTCGATCTGATATACCTAACTATAGTTATGACCAAAACACCGAAAGATGACAATCTGCCACTTATAATTTCTTCTTTAAAACTGGTTTCCAACTTTGATCTTGATGGTTTTATTGCTAGAATTGACTTGTATTTGGATAATTGAGTCTAGTTGAAGAGTTATTTTGTTAAACTTGTTGATGTGTTGAATTTGGGTTGATTTGAGGAAAAAAATGAAGCCATAAGTGGTTGGAAAATAGCGAAATACAAAGGGTATGCTGCTTAAATTTTCGCTCAAGGGTTAGGCGAGAGAACTTGAGACTTGAGCGACGACTCGAGGTTGAAACGAACTTCGATTGTTTATGGTATTCGAGTTTTCGTTAGCAAGAGGTACATAGTTGAAATTTTTGCCAAAACTTATACCCTTTAAAAAGTGAAAGTAGCGACTCTTAAAAATACAATTTTCTCGATTTTTCATACCAAGTGCGACTTCCAAAGTATAAATCACTTCTTTATCGAAACTAAAAGAGTGAGTATAAATTTTTTAGAGTTTGATAAGCCATATGACTACTACTTAAACAAGTTTCATTTACTTGATTTTCTTGAAAAAAAACTCCTATGTTTCAAACTCTAGTGGATTTTAAACTCGTAAATAATATTCTATCGCAGATTTGGATTCCAATCAAGGAGTTGTACCTAAGCGTGATTTTGATAAGCACTAAATCTTTGGTGAGTTCTTCCAAGTACATGATTGAACATGATACTTAATTTAAATACTTGATATTTGATTGGTTTGGTCAGGCAAGAGTGTAGTTTATCGCACTTGCCCTAATGTGATATATTCTTGTTCCTTGGCTGCAATTGACTTGATATACTTGCATATGACTTGCATCCTGTCTGGAATTCCAGAAACCTTGTGGCTAGTTATTCGAGTCTAACCAGCAAGAGTTTGGTCGATTAGATAACGAACCCTAAATCTCTTGTTTTGTTGAGTGGAGTGTTATCTGCTAGACTAATCGGTATGCTCGAGTATTACCATACGTGTTTATCTTGGATTTCAGGCCCGGTAGGGGGTTTGAATAGGGGACAGAGATCATAGTTAAGTGGTGCTCTACTGGACTTGTTATAATTCCATGGTTGACGGAATGTCATCAGATTTTGAACAAGTGGCTACCGAACCTGCTCCCGAGAGCAAACTGTATCCTTTTACTTGACATGTTAAATATCCAGTGGTTGGTTGTACGAAGTGTTATTACTCATTTTCTTGACTTATTATGCTCGCTAGTTTGCTACTTTGATACTTGCAGTTTTAAATAATGGTCAACTTGCTATTTGGAACCGCACTGAGTTTTAACTCACTCTATTTTGTTAAATTTATTTTTCTTACAGGGGATACGAGCGAGAGCGTGAAACTGGTACAGGATAGCATAGTCTAGTTTTTAAATTTTTGCGATTGTACTCGCGTTAGTGCTCGATTAGGATTGAATGTATCTAGAACTTAAATCTTTTGTTGTATTTGGAATTGTATGAATGTTTAACATAGAAATGAATGTACATGTATGTTCCAAACTTGGGAGCTATTATTTCATTTACTCTTGAGGTTGTAAACTATTTTATTTGAAGTGAGTGAGCGAGTCCTGACAAGAGTTGGACAAGCGGTCCACTAAACCTTGAGGTACGCCCCAGGGGGAGGTGGGGTCGTCACAGAATGCATTATCATTTTGCACTTGCACAATTTCTTAACTTGGGAGGTTTCTTGGATTCCTTAGAAATAACAATAAGGTTGCTCACCTTTTAGTTAAGCATGCATTATCAATTTCAGATTCTCATATGTGGAATGACTGTCTACCTTATTTTGTTATTTCTGCTATTGAAGCAGATTTAGTTTGATATTAATAAAATTTTTCACTCTTTCTATCAAAAAAAAAAAGAATGCATTATCATTCTAACATTTGATGGTAGTGTTATAGAAGGGAGGAAAGGAATTAAGTATGAAAGATCATGAGTTTAGAGAAGGCTCAATTGAATCCATGAAGCAAGGGATTTAAGTATAAAAGATCATGAGTTTAAAGAGAAGGCTCAATTGAATACAGAGCCAAAATTGGGACACAAGGGTGAATTTTGTGACAACATGTCAGGCGAAGGCTTCTAAGATAGATTTTTGGGAGAGGTTTAGCAGGGTGAAGGAATGGGGAAGAAGGCAAAGGAAGCAAGAGACGAGAGAAAGAGAGAGAGAGAGAGAGAGAGAGAGAGAGAGAGAGAGAGAGAGAGAGAGCAACTGAGAAAAGAGAGAAAAAATGAATCTGGTATATTTCATGCTAAATTCATTATAAGAAGGAAGGGAATCATTTATAGAATTCTATTATCCCACTAACTAACTTGAACAACAAGCACTAACTGTCTGAATAAGTCTATCTACATCGTTTTGCCTCTTACACCAAAACGCAGGCAAGCCCTCCCAAAACGACAAGTTTATTATTCCTTTGGTGCCTGACATTCCCTCCCTGTTAACATCAAGCTTGTCCGCAAGCTAAGAAATTAGGGAACTGTTTATCAATGAAACTTTTGTCCTCCGAAGAAGATTCCGACTCTGGTAGATGATTTCATTTCACCAAGTACTAAATGACAGGTTGAGACTTGCGCATAACAGCCCTCCTTCGTAATATTTTCTCAGGATATGGTATACACTGATAAAAAACATCAGGCTCAGGAAGAGTGGGCTCTATGTCCTGAGCAACTCCAACCTTCTTCTTTAACAATGAAACGTGGAACACTGGATGGACTTGAGCTCTTTCTGGTAGTTGTAGCTTGTAAGCTACTGCCCCAACCTTCTCAATGACCTGGAAGGGTCCATAGTACTTAGCAAATAGTTTTAAACTCTTCCTAATGGCCACAGTCTATTGTCTATAGGGCTGTAGTTTCAAGAATATCCAATCACCTCTAGGAAAGTCCTTTTTGTCCTATTCTAGTCAGCAAAATGTTTCATGCGACTCTGAGCCTTGGCGAGGTTGTCCTTGATATTTGCTAGAACTTGAAGTCTCTCCTGCACCATATCAGTTGCTGTAGGAATGACACTGTCACGAAAGGGGCCTAGAGGTAGATGCACTGGCCTATAACCATATAAGGTTTCGAAAGGTGTAAGCTGCAGGCTTGTGTGAAAATTTTTATTATACCATAACTCTGTTGAAGACAACCAGTCACTCCAGTGAGATGGATACTCACTACACATGCACCTGAGGTAACTTTCTAGGCACTGATTGACCCTCTCACTTTGACCATCTGTTTGAGGGTGATAAGATGAGCTATAGTGCAAACCAACTGCCAAAGTGCGAAAGAGCTCCCGCCAAAATTTGCTAATGAATACCTTATCCCTGTCAGAAGTGATAGATTCAGGCAGACCATGTAACTTATACACATGGTCAAGGAACAGCTGAGCTACCTGCTCTCCAGAATAAGGATGGGACAACTCCATAAAGTGGCTAAACTTGGTAAACGATCCACCACAACCAGAATAGTGTCATACCCCTTGGAGAAAAGGAGTTGCTCAATGAAGTCCATGGTCAGATGTGTCCAAGCCTGTTAAGGGACTGGAAGTGGTTGCAGCAGCCCAAGATAAGGAACATTTTCATGTTTGTTTCTTTGGCAAATGTCACAAGCTTGCACAAATTGTATGACATCCTTTTTTATACCAGGCCAATGAAATAGAGATTGCACCCTCTGCAAGCACACCTTTTGACCAGAATGGCCTCCCACAGCTGAGTCATGCAAGGCCTTGATTAAATTGTGCCTAGCCCCATTAGCTCCTCTTACATATAGTTTCCCTCTGAATTTGAGCAGTTCTTTCTCCAACTGATACCCTGAGCAAGCATTAGGATATCCCAGCAATTGTAACATGATGCTATGGGCCACCCCATCACCCTCATAACTCTCAGTCAATTCTTTCATCCAAACTGGCTGCATTGCTAAGATAACACAAAGGTGATTCACTACTTCCTGCTCTTCATATTCTCCTTCCATCCTTCTCCCAGATAAGGCGTCGGCAACCCCATTGTCAGACCCTTTTTTGTACTAGATCTCATAGTCCAACCCCAGTAATTTGGTGAGCCATTTATGCTGCAAAGGATGAGTAAGCCTTTGTTCCAACAAATATTTGAGAGCCTGATGATCAGTTTTAATGACAAAGTGGTGTCCCACCAAGTAATGTTTTCATTTGATTACTACTAATACTAAAGCCATCAGTTCCTTTTCATAGACAGACATTCCCAAATTCTGACGAGATAGAACCTTGCTAAGAAAGGCTATGGGATGTCCCTACTACATCAAGACTGCTCCAATCTCAACTCCACATACATTAGTTTCTATCACAAAGTGAACCTTAAAATTTGGCATTTTCAGGACCGGTGCAGTAGTGATGGCACTTTTGAGGTCTTCAAATGCTATTTGAGCATTATGACTCCACACAAAACCTTCCATCTTCAACAATTGAGTTAATGGTTTGCAGATTACCCCATATCCTTTAATAAACCTTCTAGAATATCCAATCAATCCCAAAAATCCCCTCAGCTCTTTAACTGTGCCAGGAGTAGGCTATGACTAGATACATTCCACCTTGCTTCCCTCCATACACATTCCCTCCTCAGAGATAATGTGTCCCAAATACTCCGCTGATGTTTGAGCAAAGGAGCATTTAGACCTTTTGCAGTAAAGTTGGTTGTCAGCCAAGACTTCCAACACAATTTTCAAATGCTGTACATGTGCTTCCAACGTTGGATTGTAAACTAGAATATCATCAAAGAAAACCAACACAAACTTCCTCATTTAAGGTTGAAATATTCTGTTCATCAGAGATTGAAAGGTAGTTGGGGCATTAGTTAGGCCAAATGGCATTACTAAAAACTCAAAATGATCATGATATGTCTGGAAAGCAGTCTTATGTATGTTAGCTATCTTGACTCTCAACTGATGATATCCAGCTCTAAGGTCTAGTTTAGACATGTATTTTATCCCATGTAGTTCATTCAGCATTTCGTCAATGTTTGGGATAGGGGACCTGTCCTTGACAGTAAGCTCATTTAACTTCCTATAATCCACACATAACCTCCAAGTATTGTCTTTCTTTTTAACCAACAACATAGGAGAGGCAAAGGAACTACAACTGTGCTTAATAATCCCATTTGTAAGCATTTCAGCAATCTGTTTCTCAATCTCAAACTTGTGTGCATGGGGATACTTGTCAGGTTTAAGTTTGAATGGCTCTACTCCTGGCTTCAAGGTAATCTGATGATCTAATTCTCTCTCAGGAGGTAGTCCATGTGGAGTTACAAACACCTGAGAATATTGCTGCAAAACTGAGGCTACCAGTTCTTGAATGTCCTTCTCCTGATCACCTCCGGACTCCATCTGTAGTGAGGCACAACTCCTTTGCTTCTCTTGTATAAAAGTCCAGGGATCTTTCTCCCTTACCAGCTCCATCACAGGCTGGTTAATGAAGCCTTGTAGATGTAATAAATCACCCCTACTATTAAGAGCAATAATGAGTGCATGGAAATCAAAAGTGATAGGACTGAATTGACATACCTAGTCAACTCCTAAGATGATGTCCCAACCTCCCAACTCCATTATCTTCAAATCGAACTGAAACTGATAGTCTTGTATTAACCACTTAACACTTGGGCAGATTGCTCCACTAGTTATGTCAGTACCATCTGCCAAGGTCACTGTAAAAGGTCTGACTGTTTGATAAGGAAGTTGAAAATATTTAGCCAATTCGTAGTGTATGAAGCTGTCAGAACTACCAGTGTCTACAAGGATTTTGACAGGTACTCCACCTAAGTTACCTAGTAGCATAATAGATTTTCTTTGTATTGCTGCTGCTAAAGCATTTACTGACACCTCAGCCATTTCTCTTACCCTTCCTATGAGCTCATCTTGCTCTCCTTCTGCATCTTCAAATTCAGTCTCCTCACCTTCCTCCATATCTAAATAGTTCAATCCCCCAGATTTGCACTGGTGACCTACTCCAAATTTATCTCCACACCTATAACATAAGTTGTGCTTACCCCTATACTGCATTTCCTCAGCTGAGATCTTACTAAACCCTCTGGATCTAATGTCAACCTTCTTGAGATTTGGATCAATAGCTGGAAGCTTGTAAGAGCTTGGATTGTTCTGGCTATTGTTGTGGTTCCTGTACATCCCATACTTAGGTTCAACAGCTGTCCTTCCTGGGGGCTTATGTTGCCTAGACAAATTTTCAAGTGAGCACTCTTGCAGTTCAGCCACCTCAAAAGCTTTGGATAGAGTCTGTGGCTTGAACATTTTGACTATTGT